ATATATATATATATATATATATATATATATATATATTCATATATATATATATATATATATATATATATATATATATATATATATATATATATATATATATATATATATATATATATGTATATATATATATATATATATATATATATATATATATATATTATATATATATATATATATATATATATATATATATATATATATATATATATATTATATATATATATATATATATATATATATATATATATATATATATATATATATATATACACACATATACACATACATATATCTGCAGATTATATAAAAACAGATAAACATGTATATATAAATACAGACTGATATATTTATAGACACACACACACACGTGTATATATATATATACACATACATGCATATATATATATATATATAATATATATATATATATATATATATATATATATATATATTATATATATATATATATATATATATATATATATATATATATATATACATATATATATATATATATATATATATATATATATATATATATATATATATATATATATATATATATATATATATATATATATTTATATATATATATATATATATATATATATATATATATATATATATATATATATATATATATATATTTATATATACGAGTGTGTGTGTGTGGTCTATTCGTGTAAAATCATAGAGATACGTATGCATATTTTCCCAGTAGTTTATATGGTAATACGCTACCTGTCCGCTTTTTTTTCTCTGTCATTTCTCTCTATTTCTGATTCGCATGACATCCGTTTTCAGCCTCGCTTGACACTTTCCCTTCCGCGCTTTGCAAATTGATGCAGGTATCACGTCCGTTGCACATCTGTTGCAGCCTCGCCAACCCGGCCGGATGCGCGGAAACTCCCGGCAGATCGGACGGCGACTCACGTGGCCCGCCGCTGGCACTGTGCCTCTGATTTTGCTTTTTAATTTCATTTCTATTTTTTTCTTTAATTATTATTATTATTTTTTTTTTTTTTATCTTTTTTCATTTTTCTTTTCCTTTTTTTCTTCTTATTTCTGTTCTTTTTCTTTTTTTTCTTTTTCTTTTTTAGTTTTTAGTTTTTTCTCTCTTTCTTCTTTTTCTTTTTCTTTTTCTTTTTCTTTTCTTTTTTCGTTTTCCTTTTTCCTTTTTTCTTATTCTTCTTCTGTTTTTCTCTTTTGCTTTTTCCTTTTCTTTTCCTTCTTTCTATTTGTATTTTTTTCCTTTCTTTATTATTATTATTATTATTATTATTGTTGTTGTTATTGTTAGTCCTCTTCTTCCTTTTCTTCTTCTTCTTCTTCTCCTCCTTCTTATTCCTCCTCCTCTTCTTCTTCTTCTTCTTCTTCTCCTTCTTCTTATTCCTCCTCATCTTCTTCTCTTCCTTTTTTTCTTCTTATTTTCTATTTTCTTTCTTTTTTCCTTTTCCTTTTTGGGGGGATTCATCTTTGCTATTTTTTTTTCTTCCTCTTCTCCCGTGACGTCACGATCTTCTGTCCTCTCTCTCTCTTCTTATTGCTTATTTCTTACTATCTCCTTTTTCGCTATTTTTTAATATTCTCTTGTGTTGTTTATCATTTATCATTATCATTATTATTATAGTTATTGTTATTATTATTGTTATTATTATTATTATTATTATCGTTATTATCATTATTATTGTTATTATCATTATTATTATCATTATTATCTTTATTATTATCCTTCTCTTTCTCCGTCCTTTTCTCTTTCTCCGAAAATTCCTTCTCCTTTTTCTCTTCCTCTTCACCCCCCCTCCGTCTCCTTCTTCTCACTTTCCTCTTCTCTTCTTTTCCTCTTCTTCCTCTACCATCTTTTCCTCCTCCTCCTCCTCTTCCTTCTTCTTCTTCTCCTCTTCCTCTTCCTCCTCCTCCTCCTCCTCCTCCTCCTACTCCTCCTCCTCCTCCTCCTCCTCCTCCCCCTCCTCCTCCTACTCCTCTCTTCCTCCTCCTCTTCCTCATCTTCCTCTTTCTTCTCTTCTTCCACCTCCTCTTTCCCCTTCCCTTCCTCTTCCTCATCACTATCCCTTTTTCGGAAAAATCCCCTCTCCCCCCCCCGACTCCTACACCTATTAGTCCTTCTAACACCCCCCCCTCCTCCCCCACGCCCTTCCTAAGTCATTTTCACGCCCTCAGATATAACATGGCTTCCCTCCCTCCCCCTCCCTCCTCCCCCTCCTTCCCTTCACCCTAACTCTCTCCTCCTTACTTCATCCCCGTCCCCTTCCCCTCTCCCTCCCCCTTCCCCCCCTCTACCTTTCTCTCTATGCCCCCTCACCTCCTCCCCCTCCTTCACCCCCCATCCTTCCGCTCTTCCCCTCCCCTCCTCCATCCCCCTCCACCCCCCTCCCCCTCCCCTCCCTATGACTCGACCATAGACATGATAATCCGCCCGAGGCTATAGAAGGAAGGCGTCGATTCGATCTGGGACGAAGAGAAAAATCTGTGGGGGGGGCGTGTGGGGGTGGGGGTGGGGGTGGGAGGGGAGGAGGGAAGGGGGATATTACATTTGGATGGGAAGGCACTGTATGAGTGTGTCTGTGAGTGGTTGAATGTGTGTG